TTTGTCGAATACATGTTCTTATCTCGCAGGGGCAAATGTTGTAAGGTCTGTCTATGTCTGTAGCACATTTAGTCACCTGCGTCTGTTGTCTTCACTTTGTCTATAGTATCATCGTAGCACCCAAGTCCTACTCGGATGAACTGATTTTGATCCAAGTACTACCTATTACAAGCTTTTATTTAGTTTCACCTGTTTGTCATCTTTTATTTTGTTTTATAGGTCCATAGATCAAGTTTTGTGAAACTCTATTGTATTAACTCTTCCACTCAGCCATTAACTCTATCAAAAAGCGGTGTAAAACTTTTGATTTTTTTTCCTAACTCACGCAGACTATAGTATACTTTAAAATACGCTTCCACTCTACAAATCCTCATTGAGGCACAACCGCAGCCACATCAAAGCGGTCCTCGAGGGTACTCAGCGTATAAACAATACCTACCTACCCTCACCCCGCGGATCTAACTCGAAAGAGTTCGCTTTAAACACTTAACGAGGTACCAACATACCCACAACGGCACGTCAAGGTTTACACTGTTGCATCTTATGTTAGAGGTGACAAGTGTGATTTTGCAACAAAATTGTGAAGGCTGGTGTGCTGTAAGTTGTACTTAGACCAGATTGTATGGAACTAACGACTGAAGTGAGGATGGGATTATAGGAGACGAAAATGACTCACTGTATAAAATGTTGGGCTTTTTTCAGTGTAGGATCTGTGGTTAGCTTATGAAGAACATGTAGATGAAACATCACAGAATAAAAAGTGACAGAATGCACAAAAGAACTAGCTTTATTTATTATGTGTCTAAGTAAAGCCTTCTTCGGCGAGTTACAGATATAAATGCTCGTGTTCATCAAACTAAAATTTACCCACAGCTGGACTCAAGTTCAAACCCTCTCACTGGCGTCATACCACTGGGACAGACGATCTTCCAAATAGGATTAAGAAAATGAAACAAGGTCTTTCCATTTCTCATCCCATTAAAAACAACGAATAGTACGAACCTTCCTAACTGTGGTTAATTATGATAGTGTCTAAAATAAATAGTTTATTTTCAACGTTCAGACACTAATTATAATAAATATTCCCCCTGGACCACATCCCGGCTCTCAAATCAGGGAACAAATAAAATCAATAGTCAATCTTCATTATCCCGAATTCCCGAGTAATATTTAGACCCTGCACCCCAGTTACTGGAGTAAAACAATAGCATAGCCCATGCGAAGGGTTTGTCTGACCCCAGTAGGGTGACCAGGCTGTTTAGGGTGTCCCGGCCGGGATACATAAGTGACCAAGAATGTTATTTTATGTGTTTATGTGATAAGAAGAGAGTGAGTGACAGAATGAACAACTTACTAAAATCTAAATCTACTGCAAACAATCTTAAAGTTGTCTCGCGCGTCTTGAGATCACAAAACAACAGTTAGTTAGTTTTAGAATACGTATTTCAAAAATCTATTTGTTAATTACAAAGTTTCATCTGACTAACTTCAAGACTACTTTCTCGATGGCTTAACTTCGCCTAGATTGAAACAAACCATCATTTTGTTTAGTTATCACGAAATTGGTACGGTCGCAGTGGCGTAATATCGCTCTAAAATCATCATGCGAAAAGAATAAAATTGTAAATACCGTTGAAAATATCCCTCAGAAATAGTTATCAAATATCTGGCAACCCCACACGTGGTAATGCATTTAACAATGACTCATGTGTTTGCCGTCACGCAAGAGCATGGGAGGAGGGCATGATTGAGTGACTCTCCTCACTCCTCTCGTGGACCGAGTGAATTGGGACTTTGGAATTTACTCGAGTACCTACTTGATAGAGAGATTTCATTGATATACTCATAAATTACTAATTCCAGATAACAGTGAGAATGTCCTTTAAAAATAATTAACAAATATCTGACAACCCCACACTGTAATGTGGTAATGCGTTCAACAATGACTCACGTGTTCGCCGTCACGCGAGAGTACCTATGTGAGGGAGGCATGATTGAGTGACTTTCCTCTCCTCCCGTGGAGGCCGTGGACCGAGTGAATTGGGAGCTGGCAGATCAATTTATTCGAGTACTTGATAGAGATTCGGAAATAGGATTTATGATTTGATTGGCTTTTCATAAGTTTTTTCATGTTCCAGTAGGCCTAAGATGCGCACCGCGATAAGCGGTTATCACGCCATTTTATCGATTTGTATCTTATAAATTAAAGACATAAATAAATAGTGTACAGGTACAGATGAGAAAAAACCACGCACGAATCATGCAGGAGCATTCCTACACGATTTGCGCGATTATGCGAATTGCAATATTTGCAATGTCAAATATTTACGTATTGAGAACTTTTTTTTCTTATTAGCATCTGATTAGGGATTGTAGAGAACAGCTCGCAGCAACATTTATCTAAAAATACGCGTATCTAATAAAGACCGTATGGCGGTCCATACAAGTCGATGCATAGTTAAATTGACCGTGGTTTATAAACCATCCAATTTTGTTGCAAAAATCACCCCTATTCCTACGTAAGATACTGAACCTCGATCTGTATCATCCATGCAGTCAGTCTGATACATCTATTTGAATCAAAGTTTTTCAGTAGATTATCCAAGCGATTATTGTAAGATGGTTGTTTGATAGGTCTTTAGACCGATCGGCTTTTCCCACAGATTACAACAAAAACTTTAACTGGATAGGAAAGACTTTCGAGTTAATCACTTGCTGACGTCAATTAAGTTTTAGTACTTGCGTTTAATGTCTGGGTACAAAATAATCACCACGACCTGCTCGCCATAGGTATTGCAAGCCTAACTGCAGTCACGCAATATAAAAAAGGGGAAGTGTAATTGTGAGTTAAGTCTACAATAGTTGATCGATGGCCTAGTAAAATAAGACCAATTATTAGCGTGTTTACACATCAATATAATAAATTATAATACCTTCTAGCCGGCATAAAGGTACCGCAGGATTTTGTGTTTTATTCATTTGTACTAAAATTCAAGTTGGTTGAAATGTGTATTAAGTTAGATTGTTACTTCATCACCATGCGTGTTGGGTCGCCGCAACCCATTTAACCCTTGCAATGGAACGATAAAATCACAAAATGAAACGAATTCTCAAAAATAAATATAGGCTTGCTCTACATATTTACAACAATACATAATATTTAAAATATTATCATTTAGGTACTTATTTATCAGATTGACCAAAATATCAAAGTTTCAGCATTGACAAATAAATACATAATTTGTCGCCTACTGCATTTTAATCAGATGAATGAGAGCTCCACCATTGAAGTGTCGAGTCCATTCAATCATCAATCAATCAATCGCTCGCCGACGCCAAATAATGCCATTACGACTGTGTTTTGCTTCAATTAACCGAAACAATTCGGTCATTCATTCCTTTCGTAATGCCGCGGACACACGGGATGACAAGTTGACAACGCCTCATCACAGTGCGTGCTAAGATATCATAAAATGTAATGTAAACACTGAAACTAGAGGATTTCCTGTCGAATGCGCTTTGTTTTTATATTTTGGCTTGGAACTTGCTGCTTGTGCGATAGCTTTTTGAATTATTTTCTCAAACTTTTAACTAAGGTTTTATTAATATTTTGCGATTTCCATCAAGATATTAGATAATTGTGCATTCAGAATCAGATTCACTGCCGAATCTGCAACTTTAATACACACTGAAATTAATTTCAATTTACGAATTCCATAAAAGCACCCAAAATTCTCCGATGGAAAAAATGATGATGAATTTTCAATTTTGTGTAATGTTCTGTCAACGGAATATTTATACTTCAAATCTAAATAATCCTAGACTGCATCTCACTTAACACCAGGTGCGATTGTGGTCAAATACCACTTTACCACTACAAATACCACTGTGGACTGCCTTGTCTAGCATAAAAAAAATTTATCCTAAAACCCTAAAATAATAAAATTACATCACAGGCATTGAGGTTTTGGCTCCACACCGCACACAATATCGCGTTACAGCAATGCCCCGTCAAAATAATCGCGAAGGCCGTCAGTTAGGCGCCGGCCACAAACCTCCATTAGCTGGTAAACTGCAATATTCAAGTCAAAATATAACACGGGTCTCGGTCACTTCGTCTATTCTATAGGACAAGTAATATTATACTAACTCAAGCCAGCTGTAAAAAAAATAGTAGCGGTCACAAGAAATCGATACCGGTCGCACGCAGTGATACTAGGATTCTATTCTCAAGCTAAATAAAAAAGAACTCTTAAGGTAACTAAGTGTGGACCTTGGACTTTGATTATGAGTATGGCAAAAGGATGAAGCCGACTTTTCATGAACTATAGTGACACTTGACAAACAGTGACCATCTGCAGAAGTGCAGCTGATTCACATTTAGTTTCACTCACAGCAAATACAGATGTCAATGACACATCATGCTCAAATAAAGTGGTGAAATTATTAAGACCAGGGAAAGGAAAAGCTACAAAGATGATTCATTCTGCTTTTTTTTTCGGATTATTCATAAAAACAAAATTAGGACTCGCGCAGCCGTGCTCTCGAAATATGGTCAATTATTATATTGAAAAAAATATGGTTATGTTATGATTATGATTATTGACCAAACATTATCACAATAATTTGTTCCTCAAGAAAATTGTCTGTCTGCACCATGCCTTAAATTCACGAAGTGATTGGTGACTCACACGCAGTGACAAGGATAGTCGGCCATTCAATTCGTTTATATTGGACACAATTGCATATTGCAACTGAGTGTACACACAAGTAAGATTGTTCCTTACAACCTTTCTTACACTGATGCGAGTAATTATGATCAGCTGTGTCATTTCACGAGAAATTAATTAGCATTTAACTCCTTGCGAAATAAGAAAGTGACCGTAAACTGTACTGATCCGTAACTAAAGGTCGAAGAGAAACTTATAATTGTTTTGTTTGTCGCTGTAATCCCTCGCCAAAAAAATGAGAAAATTGACATTTTGTAGTTGAACTCCTGGTCAGGTCATATAATCACCTGTGCAGGACTGCGATCAAAGCAAAAGGATTACTTTTACCTTTTTTAAGCCTGATGTTCCCATATTTCTCTCTTAGTCATCTCTAACGACATCCACGGGAAGTCGGGCCGTATTCTACTCTACAATACTGTCTTTTACCCGGGTTTTATAGAGAAAATCTCGCTTCGTTGCTATAAGACCACTTAGACCGCCTAAATTGAGCTGTTTCGAACATTTTCTGGCAGTTTTGTGTGGTGTTTAAAATAGGAATTTGTTTATCTATCCATTTGAAATCACACAGCGTGACGTACCTGAGTGGAAGTGAACCTCCGACTGCCAGACCGGCTGAGGGTGCCGCCGCGCACGTTGCTGTCAGCCAGTTCTACGTCACCACCGCCGTCCGCTGCCCGCCGTCGGGATAGCTCGCAAAGCTCGGATATTGGCTGCACCTGGATAGATACGTCATCATCAAACAATAGTTCGCTGCTGGGTGTAGGTTCTTCATGATACATCACGGTCATTAAACATTTGGAGTCTACTCCTGGATGTAAGCCGAGGAGCGTCAAAAAGCACTCAATACTGTTANTACTGTAAGACAAAAGCAGCGTCGCGAGTCGTTTGAAGCTATATCGAACCACATGACCCACCCATGTAATCAAACTAAGGGCCGTCCTACCTCCGAAGACATTGCTAACATGCTAAGGATCAGTGACAACTGGAAGTGCATAGTGGATATCCTCCTGCACAGTGGGTTTGCCATATTTGTCTCTGAACTGCCCGAAAGTAAATAAGTGCACAAATATTTTTTTCCAATAATAACATAGCCACAGTGCTTGTACTAGACTAGGGCAACTAGATAACGGATAATCATACTTAGTACGAGTAAATACATAATCGATAAAAGTCCATGACTCCTAGTACATATAAAACAGGTGGTCTACAAGGGCAGGCTAGGTCAGTACGGGTGCCCTCAAAACTCGAGGGTCCCTAACCTTTTTCGAAACGCAGACAGAGAGCGAAGGGTTGGCTGATTCGAATTATTAGATTAGGTGTAAGATTAAAGGATCAAATCAATTTGAAGAATTAATTCAAGTNTCTGTTGCTACTATTATGTATTCTGTGGTGGTAGTCAGTAGACTTAAAAGTTATTATACTTTAATGTAATAAATAGCTTATCAAAATAATAAAACTATTCTTTTACTTTCTGTCGCAGTCAAGACAATGCCACACTTCCACTTGATACAAACAATATGAAAGGAATTAGTTGTTCATACTAAACAATAGTGTGCGTATTGTTTCACAGACAAAGCAAAAACAATTAACCCACATTTAGAGGAGAACGTATAAAACAACCGTTTAACCAAATCATCAAGTTTAAGACAAAAACCTGTATATTGCAAGTTCACACACGCTTTTTCAACTTATGAGAAAGCCGCAAGTTCTTATGGTCTCTTAATAGTTGGTTATGTTGTGAACATTTAGCAAATTAGCAAATTGCGTGTGATTTTTTTCTAATCACAAAATGTCATACTAATGACACCAAAACATTCTCTAGTAGAACTCTACTTCGAACTCCTCCTGTTCTTTTGATTAATTTCGTTGCGGGTCCAATGACAGTTTAACTTTCCCCCGGGACAAACTTGACCTCAAGCTGTAGATCCTGGCTACACAGGAGTTGCAGCGGTGGAAACGAGAGGTGGGAATAGTCCCGATTGTCTAGTAGTAATTCATAACTATCGAGATGATTTTTTTTAGTTAGTGGTAGTAGTTACCATTGAAGTTTAACAGTTGTTATTAGAACGGAGTTAGTTCAAAACGTTTATTACATAAATTAGTTCATTACAAATCATACATTTACAAATCATTTCTGACTACACAACACCTGATTGAATGCATCGAAATAGTCACTAGTCACGCTATCCTTAAAGTTTACCGTTTGTTTGTAATTTGTTATTATAACACTCGTATTATTTTAACAAATTGCACTAAATAAATCTTCAAACTAAACGACTATTCGTCAAATTAAAGTTTATTATGAGCCTAATGAATCTGTTAATTTATGTTTATAAAATACATCAAAAAGTTAATCAATTTTTTATTTATCAGTAAAGTTGCATAGGTAACGATGATTGACGTAAGTAACTGAACTTAAACTGACAAATAAATAATTAGAAACTCATACTGACCTTTATAGTGACGGAATCATGGCTGCTCTTGATCAGGTCAATCACGTCTTCCCTACTTTTGCCTTCCACACTAACACCGTTCACTTCCAAAAGTCTGTCCCCGGGAAGGAGCCCCGTCTCACTAGCGCCAGGATAAGATCCAGGTTCAGCTAGAATCACTGCTTTATAAGTCAATTTGCTATTCAGGCCATTCGAAATATTGCCATTGTATTTGCTATCACCGTTTGGAAGTCCGTTCTCCTCATGACCATTGAAATCTTTGATATCCCCTATGAACACACGCTCCTGAACCATAGCCCTTCGAAGACTAAATCCAAAGTCATTCCTAGGAGATTTCTGCCTTTGTATCGTTAGCATTCTGGGCTTAGGTAATTGTAACGGGGTCAGTGACGGTAAAGGCAAATACACATCTTCGAAGTTGCTAGTCCTAGACCATCTATGGAAGCCTTGTGATTCACCAACAGGCGAGGTAGAAAACGGCGGAGTAGCAAACGAAGAGTTCGTAGTCGTGTCGGTTAAAGAATCAGCACTTGGAGACGTGGAAGTGACTCCAATGTAATTGTTTCCGTTCGTCTTTGGTATTTCGTCTACGTCTTGGGTGACAATCGACGGGTTATTCGCATTGTTCTTATAGTTTTTATACTGCGTATCCACTGGACTGTGGATGACCTTCTTTGTGAACATTTGCAGCTGTTGTATGTCATCGCTAGACGACGTGCTTTTCGAAGGTGGGATGCCATAGCATATGACCTCATTCTGCTGCGTATTCCGTGCCAGCAAATTCGGATCTTGACCATTTATGTAGTCCACAGTATCGCTGCTTTGAGCATTGCTCTCTTGAGAATTAGAACTAGTATTGCTTAGACGAGGCCCTTTCAGGATTCCTCGTTTCGGAGGTCGTGGTGGAATCGGAGGTAGATTAGGCGGTTGTCGCGGGCTGTTATTGGCGTTGTTTGGGTTGTTTAGAGAATTCAGCGATGTTTCTGAGCTGTCTGATTGCAGGACGCTGTCCTTTTTAGTCCAGCTGTGGGTCGTGGGGTATCCGGGAGATAGATGGTTATTCTCGTCACTTAAGTTGGAGTTAGACCCCGAGGTAGGTATCAGCGGGTAGTTGGAATAATTGGAGTCTTGTTCCAGGTGAGCGAACAATGAGGCGGTGTAGTCGGCGGTGATGCCGGAGGGTAGTTTCTCCTTTTCTTTGCGTCTGCCCCGTAATTTCAGAGATCGTCGAACCTGTAACAACAAAACAGAATTGAGTAAATGGCGGTAATACCTATCCGGTGGACACGGCCCAATGAGCATGAAGGTCGTACTAACAAAATAGATTGGTAAATCTGACGTGCAGAATGGCAGGAGATTAGAATAACGCGTGCGACGCACCACTTGTAATCTAATACTTTTTACCTTGAGCAATTAGAGAGCCATTCGCAAATTGCTTTGCTTGCGTATGCATGGATAGAGCAAAACAAAAGGCTGTAATTTATCAAACACTATCACCGGTTCAGATTGTAACTGGCTAGCATAACATTCAGTTCATAACTTCATAATAACACGTGGTTGTAGAGAGATATAGACCTAAGTAAACTATGTAAGGTGTCAACAGAAGACATAAAATTCAAAGTGCGACAGAAGACACATACGTCATAAATTACGTTTCGCGCGACTTACTGGCAGCTGTGACGAAACCCAACAAGTTCCTGTAATTGCGAAAAACAGCATTCCATGTCAGCCACACTCGGCCACTCGAAATTTAATCACGAACACCGAAAGTGTTACAATTATGCCGAAACTGGTTTCCGTCTTAATTGTCGGAATCTTATTTCGAGACGGACAAAAAACTTTCTTTTGAATTTTGAAAACACGAGGCGAAACCACTGGACTCTGACGACGGAGGATCCAAATTACAACAGCAATAACGTTCAATTTAGCTTAATTGGTTATTAATTAACGAAATTCTCCGAGCGCATGCACTCGAGCCAGATGCAATAGATTTGGGGATGGGATGACCTTGCGTGCCTTGACTCTTTCTATCGATACAATTGGATGACAACATGAAACGGGAAGACTTACATAGGTACACTATAATCTAATATCTAACTCGATTAAAACACGAGTAAAGTCGATTAGTAACAGTCAAAACGCTAAACCATCTAAACATTATAAATCGATAAGACTTCTAAAACATTTAGGAATTCAATTCTATTCCATCAATTTAATTGTATTCAACACTTTTCGTCTATCACAGCAGTATAACACAACTCTCACAGTCATTGTACACAAAAAGTCACAACACATCAAGCAACACTGGCACCTTATGTGCCTGTAAATAGGAGCTATTTTGCAGCAAATAGTATAACCTGATGTGCATTCGACTGTACAGTACGTTGATTTAACTATACCAGAGCGCTGAGAGCCCATCCAATCATCTTGAAACCACTCGACTCGAGTTTATACAGTTCCTCCATCGCAGACAGCTAATCAAAGACCACACATGACCTAGCACCTCGAGTCCTCAGCACTGCACTAACAACAGCCAAACAATGATAATTGGCATGCTGTTTAGTTTGTAAACAGAAAATCAAAACAGCTGAGGATCAACAAACATCGGTGATTAGAACGAACTCAAAATGTTAGACGGGGCATTGTCTACTAAGAAAACGTAAAGAAAGGCAGCAGAAATTAATTAGCACTGCTCAAATCTTGACCAGTGAAGATACAAAAGGGGTCAAAGTTATTCCCGGTTTAGGAAACTGCAATGCCAAAGGTCAAACTTTTAACACCCCTTTTTCTGATAGGGGTTAAAATGACTAAAGACGAAAAACAAAAGTAAACTATAAGGTGGACGAAGGGGCTTATAATGAAGGAATGACGGGAATAGTCCCGTTAATTAATTACCGAAGAAAGGAATGCCAGTTTCATTGATGACATTATTAATGATAGTGTCTGGTGCATGTGGAAGTTCCAAACAAAAAATACATCCCAGATCGCAATCCCACGTTGACCCAATATAATGTTACAGATGCACATCAAGTAGCCTGCGAACCTCTCCCATCGTACTCTCTCTAGCCACCGAACACCGGCTGTGTTCACCAACCGTAACCATTAATATAAAATAAACAGAAGCTACACCGTTAACGTATGCGCCGACATTGTCCGATCTACAAACAGCCTAATCTATGTATACTAATACTTCAGATAAAGCTCAAGAACTACTGGACCGATTTGAAAAATTCTGCAAAAACGGAAAAAAATATCAACGATTTTGACGCGTACGAAGTCGCGGGCACAGCTGGCAGCTAGAACCAAATATTCCACGAATTCGGTTTATTGACAGTTACCAAAGCATTTGTTGACATAAACACGGTAAATTGTCTAATAGAACATGACACAAATGGTAATAAATCAGCCAACTTGATAGCTGAAGCATAACGGCAAATGATTTGTGAGACAGTTTTCAGGTAACTGTATTTTATCCGTGATTCGATTTCAATTTATAGATTGCACCATACAATACAGTTTACAGAGACTATTATGTCATTTTACCACTCGACGGGTTTATTATCGAGTTTATGTAGGAATATTACACGTAGAGCTATTATTATTAAACACTAGCATGGTACTATTACTTATTCTGTGACACTAGTGCGCTGTTTAGGCAGTCAGGTGACTTGAATTTGGAAAATATTGTCCATCCAAAATTTTCCTTTTGCGAAAGTAAAAAACAAAAATTTAAAAGACGAGGAAAAGTCTTTGAGACCCCTGCCCTATTTGCTGTAGAAACCAACTGTTAATAAAATTATAAAGACATTTGGTAAACGTTTGGACACGCCCAAAATTCAATTCTTTGTGATTTCAAAATCGTTATCTAAACTGCAATCAACGAGGAAGGAACAGGTGTTTATCTAAACATACATTTCAATCTTACAGCAATAACGCTTATCTGGGTCATTGAATCTTGGACCTCCAATGCTCTGTTATCGCTAGCGGTCAATTACCGAGATAACAAGTTGTTGAGAGCGATGCTGATAACACGGTGGTCGATATCGATGATAAGGTCTCGTATGCGATAATAATTGACAAGGATAATCGTTTAAGTACTTGAGAAGTTACTGAAATTACCGACTGTATCAGATAGGATTTGAATCTGATGAGAATTTTCTTTATTCGTTAGATAACCTAGTATTTCTTTAGAATTAGGCATACTTATTCAAATTTTAGTCTAACCCCGATTCAGTTTTATGTAATCGTCCATCGTTTTGTAATCAACGATCGATTTTGCAATTTTAACTAATTGCCACATTAGTAACCCAAAATGCAAAATGCATTTCGATTTCCGACATCGCTAAGTTATTAGTAAGTCTGAATAATCAGGTGCTACATCAGGATCTTAAATTAGCTACATATTTATAAACAAAGCAAAACAAAACCCGCCGTTTTAAAAGCAAAACATTTGCCCGCGGCTTTGCCCGCGTGGACAAAGAGTCTGCTAATGATCAAATCAGGAAGTTAGTCCTACTGTCCTATGACCAAAGCCCGTTCATTTTCTTACGATATCATACGTGTATGCTAACTTTTGCCAGTTGCATCGCCCGAATTTCTTTCTGTCACAAAAATACCTATGAAATAATTTTCCAAATCGAACAAGAAGTAGTAATATTTCCAAACAAATGTTTCGACTACCGGACAGATTTTCCTGGCTCCGCAGAACGAGGAAAGCCGACCGCAATGGGAAATGGCTAAGAAAAAGAAGAAGAATCCATTCACCTCCTAGAACAAACTCACAAACTTTATCCCTAAATTATTGATTATTTGACCCAATGACTCACGCAAAGAAAATGCACAGCTTNGTCCATTAGGTGCTACATCAGAATCTTAAATTAGCTATTTTTAAAACAAAACAAAACTTAATGAATTAGCACGTGCCCGCGGCTTTGCCCGCGTGGATTTTGGTAGGACCTTACAAAGAGTCTGCTAATGATCAAATCGGGAAGTTAGTCCTACTGTCCTATGACCAAAACCCATTCATTTTCTTACGATATCATACGTGTATCAATATGCTAACTTTTGCCAGTTGCATCGCCCGAATTTCTTTCTGTCACAAAAATACCTATGAAAAAATTCCAAAGCCAACATAAGTTTGGATTAAATAAATAAATAAACCTTTATTGTCACCATAACAAAAAAGAAACAACACATGAACACAGTTTAACTATTAAGACCAAGGTGACAAGGGCATCCGGCTCAGCGTAAGCTGTACGGCACTAGGTCCATGCAGCGCTGGTTTTCAGCCGGTGCCAGTCTTATATGCACGTACTACAGCGTACATAGTAGGTAGGTGCAGTGATATAAAAAGAGATAAAAAACAAACCAAAAAATCTCACACAACATTACTTCTTATTCCAAATCGAATAAGAAGTAATCCAAACAAATGTTTCCACTACCCAGGCCCAGGACAGACTGCCCTGGCGCCGCAGAATGAGGAGAGCCGACCCCAATGGGAAATGTCTAAGAAAAAGAAGAAGAATCCATTCACCTCCTGAAACAAATTCACAAACTTTACCTCTAATACTGATTATTTGACCCAATGACTCACGCAAAGAAAATGCACAGCTTTGTAGCTAAGGAGGCTAATCAAGCAAATGCCACTTGCATTCAGAAGATGTTGAATGCCACGGCGATGGTGCAATCCACCCCGCTATGACCTATTGCGACAGAAAACGGGTAAGTCGGTGAGATCATATCTATTCTGTTTATCCAAATATCGTAGAACTGGTATTTGAATGCCGAATTGTCGAGGATCTAAAATACTAGCTTTTGCATGCGACTTTGCCCGCGTAGATTTGATAAAAATTACAACCATGTTCTATTCTGATGACTAGAAAATTGTAAGGTTTCATCATTTGTCCAGTCGTTTTTGGAAAACATGCATAAAATCCCAAAGTAACAGCAAAGTACGAGTACGTCGTCTGTGCACTTAAGAATTAAAATATTTATCCAAATATTAAATTCAAATTGGCTTGAATTCATACCCAAAGAATAGAGTTGTATGATCGTTTTCGTATAGAACCTAAGAATACGTTTTCGTATAGGTAATCACGTAATAACAATGCCGTCCTGCAAAATTTACTGCAAAACCTGACATTTTCCTCAGACTCTTCAGAACTGACATTGATTTATAATAGAGAGATTTATCTTGGTCTTGGTCCGGTAAATGCAAATCTTGAGATGGTTTGCGTCGTAAATAATGGTTCACAATAATGTTAGACCTTGAGAACAACCCAACGTTAAAACAACCAGATTAATGTATTCACAATGATATGTTGGGTTCCCTCCCAGTAGAGGCAAATTTTTCTGCAGTTTGGTTAACTTGTGGCATAGGAATGCCTAGGATACGCGCCGCGATAATCTTTTATCGCGCCATTTTATAAATTTTACGCGATTAGCACGTTTGTTGTCTAAAATCATTAGATAAGATTTTATCACGGCGCACATCCTAGCCCGGCTGGTTAGGTACTACTACTACCACCATCTCACGCAAGTCTATCGCCCGGTTCGACAAAATAACAATGTAACAGAACAGCATTGTTTTATTTCGGCAGCTGGAGGTTAGAAGTAACGATGTAGTCCTCTGAGGTCGAGGAAGCTCACTTCCACCTTCGGCGTGGTCACTTGAGGTGATGTCACCTCAAGTGCGATAACTTTTTTGTGCTAAATTTGGATAAAGGATTAACTGGATCATGGGGTCCTTAATAAGTGAAGTTAAATGTGAATTATTAATACGTTTTCCAACAAGTACCGATATTGGAAACTTGTGACAGAATTTAAATTGCAGATGGAATAGCAATAAATAAATTCCTAATCAAGCAAAAACTTTAAATTAGCCAGGTATACATAATATACAATAATTACTGAAACAATCAATTAGTTAATCTTTATTACTGAACTATCAGTTACCTGTCGACGAAAGAAACGTGTACACTTTTTTAAATTATATAAATTGAACATTTAATGTCACGTCCAACATTTATTTAGGCACTTCGACAAATAGTTAACTAAAGATTATGTACCTACATAATTTGTCCAAGTTTGGTAGGAAACAAATTCATGTATTTATTTATACGGATATGTCACAAAATTTGATTGATGTTTTATCCACAACGAAGAAGCTTTTGGCCTACATCTTACCTTATGGAATAAGTGATGATCAGGCATCCGGGACGAAGGTGGTATGATAGTATTACCATGGTATGTTTAGACTGTTAATATGGGTTCAAGGATTACATTATTTTAATTAAAATATTTCTTAGTGATGGAATTAGTCTACGACACCTCTGGCGGGTCATCGTACCTAAAATCTCACACCAGAATGATTTTTGGTACACGCGCCGTTGACGCACCCTATANACCCTATCCAATTTAATCCCAGCTTTTTCAATAGAAGACTAAAAATCATAAATAATTAAAAAATAAGGTAATATCTCACCTCTTCCAGCCTCAAGGGTTCCTCGAGGCCGGCAGCTATCCTCTCTCTTTTCTCCCGCTCTTTCCTCTCTTTCTTCTCCCGTTTCCTCCTCTCCTTGTCGCCGTCTCTCTCCTCGCAGCCGCCGCCGTCGCCGCCCGCCAGGACGGTGGACTTCTTGATGAAATTAAACATGGCGGCTGCGGTCTGTAACAAATAAAAAAGTTGGTAAGTAAAACAGATACTCAAAACCTAATCAAATCTGAAAGTTAATGTAAATAGACACAATGTTGTTTAGGTATTACAAAAAATGAAAAGAAAGGTGCTAAAATGAAAGTTCCTTTACGTAACACAATAAATATTACTTCAATAAACTATCAAATAGGAAGATCAAAGGACGAGTAACGCCTTGTTTGTAATTTGCATAAATAAATATTCAATATTTTGCTTCTTTTACATAAGTAATAGGAAAAGTGTTGATGAATGAGTTAAATGTTGTTAAATCAGACAAATTCCGAAGTCAATTTGGTATAATATTTCGTCGACATCATGTCTACATGATATCAGTCTCCCTAGAAAAAGTTCCTGGCAGTTTGGATTTTAAAATAAAATCTGTCACTGATCATTCATTACATTATTTACAACAAAAGTATGTTATTACAATACTTTTTTAACGGAACAGTGCCTTCTCTTATCATCGACCACGGAACATTTCCTCTTCATCACAGATGACGTGGTTTGAATGAGACTTCTGCAATACTCTGGGTCTGTTTCTCAGAGAAATGAGCTTACTCAAACAACTTCTACTGGGCGGGAGATAACAAAGAAACGGCGCGTGCGCATCTCAATGCGGACTTGCGTAAATCAAACAGCAGCCTTTAAAGGCAATAACGCCGGTTTTAGTGCGGCCGTAGCATTGTGATGTGCCCACAAATGTGGCCACTTCATTGGAAATGGTGTTTCAGAAGAAATGCAAGAGAAATGGCGCCACAGGGCAGAAATTACCCCGGTAGTAGAGTTCTCTGTTAGGCTGTGGTCTCCAATAAACGCCGTAGGCCATCGTCACAATACTTACTATAGAAATGTACTGTTGTGGTCTCCTTCAGATGTTCACAGCGTATAGCGTCGTTTGATGCTGACTTCGTACGCTTCGTATAGCATTTAATAGGTGTCTGTAGCTTTAGCTCTATTGGCAATGACCTAGCTAACAAACATCAAGAGGGNAACCCTTAAAATAGTGTTTATTATGCTAATAATTAGACATACGTGCCAAAAAAATTACGTAAAGTAGCTAAAACAGTAATGAAACATACCATGAAAGTTCCCTACCGGCACGTTTTTTTTCTAACTTGACGACGTTTTCCATTCACCTGTGTGCAGCAGCAACTTCCGTAGATTTTTTTGGAGTTATTACTTGTCAAATTACATTTTCATGCAGGCAGAACTGTTACTTAGATATTATAGATTGTAACAAGTCCAAACTTGCACGGAAAGTTAGGTTTGTATTCTAATTTTCCGTATTTGTTTGTGGCAAGTCGGTCAAATGGACGAAAACAGGTGCTGGACGGAAAACCGGCACAATTACCCTACCTACACTTTTTTAAATTATATAAATTGAACATTTAATGTCACGTCCAACATTTATTTAGGCACTTCGACAAATAGTTAACTAAAGATATGTACATAATTTGTCCAAGTTTGGTGGGAAACAAATCCATGTATTTATTTATACGGATATGTCACAAAATTTGATTGATGTTTTATCCACAACGAAGAAGCTTTTGGCCTTCATCTTACCTAATGGAATAAGTGTTGATCAGGCATCCAGGACGAAGGTGCTATGATAGTATTACTATGGTATGATTGAAGTGTTATTATGGGTTCAAGGCAGTAGCGGCGTAAGGGGGGGGCGGTGGGGGCGGTCCGCCCCGGGTGCCAAGCATCAGGGGGTGACACAACTCGCGCAGATTAGTATTCACTGGCATAATCTGGATGGCAAATCTGCGGTCTATGTCATTATACGGGGGTGTGGGGGGTGTGATTGTCTTTCAATCTTCGAATCGTTAGGTAACCCCAAAATCCTGGGTGGGGGGTGTGATTGTCTTTCAATCTTCGAATCGTTAGGTAACCCCAAAATCCTGGGGGGTACCAGGGGGTGCCATAGGACTTGTGACGGGGGGGGGGTGGGGGGGGTGGGGGGGTGATCGCCCCGGGTACCAACCCATGCTACGCCGCCACTGGTTCAAGGATTACATTATTTTCATTAAAATATTCCATACTGACGGAATTAGTCTACGACACCTCTGGCGATGAATGATTTTTCGTTGACGCACCCTATCNTAAATTGATTTCGGAAAACTGGGTTTTGGCCGCCTAAATCGTTGAAATCTACGTATGTGCTTTGCGTGTTAAGTAACAAACACCCATCTTGTACCTATCGGTAAGCGGGCTAAGCCACTTTATTTTTAAACTTGGTCACAGTTAATATAAACAGCTCGGGGCTTAAACCATGATTGCTAAGACAATTGACGTTCGTAGTTTTCCACGTAATCTACATTTACCTACTTTCTATTTATTTTAGCCGTGTGGTTCTGGTAGCATAAAATATGACCCCACTTTTCCTGTGGATGTCGTGAGAGGAAACTAAGGGCAAGAGTGGCGAATGGGGAGCTCAGGTCAAATCCTTTATTTGCCTCTGCCAACCTAAGTATTGGGGAAATAAAAAAGGTAAGGCTAAGTAAGCCTACTGAATCTAGTTCTTGTATGTAGTGGAAATAGTTCTCGACTGGCCGTGGTCGCGGTGATTTAAAGCGAAGCTAAGTACCTACCCTGAGCGAGAAACGTTTTTGTAAGCACTTACAATAAATTAAGAAAGAATCGTCCGATGAAGATTACACTGTGGAAAAATATTTTTAATGATCTTTGAGCTGTCCGGTGAATTTTAATGATTTATTGAAAAGTTTTCTGGTATAGAAGGAAAGGTTTTCAAACATTATGCATATGCCCATACTTACACTGCCCAACAAAAGTTCCCTAATCATGTCTATGATAAAATAAGTATTATCTGGTCATCATCGTCATTCTCTCAGCTCAGTAGGTAATGGACATAGCACGTAGAAAATCAGCCACGAAAAGCTGTACTTACATACAAAATTCGTAATGTTATCACAAAACAAAAGCTACCACTTACCGAAGCGAGCGAAGCACAGCAACGCTGCGAGAAGCATCGCGATTGTCTTTTTCACATCATTATTTGTAACACACTCTTGCAACTTGCCATTATCCGTTGTGTTCAGTCAATTCGCCATGCCACTTTTGATTGTCACTGTACACTGTGATCCGTTCCTTTATCTCGATGGATTTAGTTTTATCTGAGGACAAAAGGAATACATAATGTGGATTACATGTGTTTAAAGTCTTAAGATACATGACAGGATCATTAATAACAATTTTATTAATAGATAGATTTTTCACTATAAGGGGTAACCCTCTATGCACCTATTTTCATTTCGCGTAATTGTTTTGTATATCTGCCTAAAGTGAATCCCTAATCAGCTCATTAATACAATAGGTATGAGTGACTGACTGAGTAAGTGCTGGTAAGGCCTATGGTAGTAGAGTGGTGCGGAGGTTGTGATTTTGTTACGTCAAATGTCAGCAAAACTTCAGATATCTTCAGACATGTATGTTGTGATATTTCTGTTACATATCAACTCCTTCACCGCTCCACTACTGAAAGAAGGTGCTCAGTTAAGCGTCCTACTTGTACAGTCAGGGTCAAATAGTTCGGGACACCCAAAGTAGTCAAAAAGTTCGCAACACGTCCTTGTTACTTGGAATAAGGTTGTGTTGTCAATTTTTTGGCCACTTTGGGTGACACGAACTATTTGACGCTGACTGTATTATCAAGTAAAATTAATTCAACTGTCAACTTAGTCCAACTCGAAAAATACAGCTTCGAAATATACCGCCACTTACACAAAATACAAGATTTCACAGCGTTTATTACGTATTCATTACATCATGTTTATCTGTTTACCGTTAAGGAGTGCCAACCTAAACGAAATTTGAGTCAAATCACGGAGGAAAAATTCCATGGCAATCATAAAAGGCGGTAAATATGGCAGGTGGGAAAATTCTACCCAGATTTTCCTTAAAGTGGGAAATATTTTCTCGAAAAGAGATTATTCAACGCAATCAACTGAAAATAAAATGCATTTAATGTCTTTGAATGTAATGCTTGTTTTGATGTGGTTATGTAACAATGTTTATTTAATAGTTCGGTGCACATGTTGAATGACAACCTTAAAAAGTCATATTATTGTGAATTTGTAAAAGGTATCAAATGAAAAGCTAATAATAAAGATTTCAAAAGAAAATTACGTATTTGCAAAGTTATAAAATGTGCGATAAAAGATTCTTCCTAACCTTCGAAGCCATTCAAAGTAAAATTTGGAAAATGTTTGCGAATTCAGGCTTGTTTGCAATGTTTATAGGTAAACTTTCATGTTTTTCAGTAAAGGTAAGGATACCTTAGAAATAAGTAAAAGCTTGAATTTCATTTTATTATTCATGTTTAGAATTTTTGTAGCTTGATGACGCTATTAAGAGTATTAGAGTGTAACTTGAATTTGCCTGGGTAAACAAACTAGAATATATTTTAAAACGATTAAGGTTCAAAGTTAAATGTAAATGAAATAACTATAAAACTACTATACTTCTGACTCTTTATATTCTTGACTTAAAATAAAATAGCCACAGATGCTTAGATAGATATAACATGGTAACAAAAACGAGCTAAGTACAAATACAAGTAGACAAAAATAAGATACATGTAAATAAATAAGCTTACATTATAAAGGTATACGAGATAATATTCGTTTGTTTACGTAAAAATTACGTCAGCCAATCGTCAGTCGAGCGGAATATCGACAATATCGATATTATCAAACATCATGACATGTACAGACGACGGCACCATGCTAAACACTGTAGCCTTATTTAGTTGTAATAAGTACGACTTTCCAACAAAAATAAACTGTGCTGATGACTGTACACGTACTTACATAGAGACTACGTGTGTCAGTTCCATTTTTGCTGATATAATATTATGCTCTGAATCCGACATATGAGAGACGTTTGACGGGAGGTAAATATTTTCCCACTTAATTCGATGCAAAGTCGGGCTTCTAGAAAATTAAATATTTAGTCT